GGTGTTCCATTTAAAAAAATTAATGTGACCTTGACCTGACCTTCGCTACGCAACCCAAGGTCAAACTGATGTGATCAGTAAATACATCTTTTTAAACGCCACAACTTTTGTCTGAAACATTTTTTTGTAAAACTTATATTTTTCCTGATATTCAGGCGTCCCGGTACTTTCCGAACACCCTGTATAAATATATACTAACGTACGTATACTTATGCATAATGAGAGAGATATAATAATATATAATTACACAAAATGTGAGATTTGCGAATTACTTGTTACTTTGTATAATTATGTATACTAATGTATAAGTATGCAGAAGTATATATAATTATATGTAAATATGTAGAATCATGTATATGTACATATAATCAAAGTATAGGGCGATGTAGACACGAACAGCGGCGCGTTGCCGCGCGACAGCGGTTATCTTCAGAAGTAAACCATTTTTCTTTACACGGAGTTTGATCTACCGATTCACGTGCGCTTATTAGCTTACAGAGAATAATTCATTCTTCGTCAACTATTGCGAATTTTGCAAAATGGTATATGACTTTTCTATTCAATTTAATCCGTTCTATCTTCACAGGAGCGATTGTATGAAATATAACAATACTTGTATGAGTAAAAGTCAGCAATATATCGCAGAGCTGCACAACTCAAGCGAGCCGACTAGCCAAGTAGTAACGCTGCGATATTTCCGTCATCCCCGCCACTGACCGCGCGCCTACCACTACATACGTACGCTTGGCTCCGTTTCATATGTGTTAGTATTGGCGTGCTGTCGTCAAACATGAGCCGTTCAGTGATAACTATGACAAGTGCGTAGTGTGAATGAGAAGTTGTCACAAGTAGTGTAAAGAATTTTACGCGTGTAATACGTACATACATGAGTAAATAATATTTGTGATATTTATATGCACATAGTAATTTTATATTTTAATAAATTGAGGATTTATAATTATGTGCATAACATCGCTTAACATTTCTGTTGTAGGAAAATATTAATATTATTAATTTCTTAATGAGATGTTTGAGGTCGAACAGTTGCGTTGACAAGCTGAGAAATATCAACAGAAAATTTAGTTGTGGTTAAGCGTAATAAATGTGACAATGTCTCGTCAGTCATTGAAGATCGATTGCTGTTTTTTATATTTTTCATCGCAGAAAATGTTTTTTTGCATAAGTAAGTACTAGCAAACATGGAATGAATTTTTAACGCAAATTTTCTTATATTAGGATATAAATTCTTATCTAAAAATTTATAAAACGCAGCACCTGTTTTTTTTCTAGATTGCAGAAAAACATCATTTTGTAAATCGCAGAGTTCCAATTGTAAATGTTCCGGTTGATCTTCTATTTTTGCAGTAAGTGGATTATTAAAAAGATTTAGATCACTTTTCATTCGAAATCTGTAAAACAATTTTGAAATTCATCAGAAACTTGCTAAACGATATTATCTAATGAGGAAAATTTCAAATATGAAAATTCGTCCTTCAACTCTAAACAAGAAGGAAAATGGGTTAAATTTTCTTTCTGAAGCTGAAGACAAAATAAATGAAGTCGAGCACGAAAACCATTGATATAACTTACTAATTCTGAAATTCCCTGCTTTTCATCTTGCATTTTTAAATTGAGCTCATTCATTTGATAAGTGAAATCAGTTAAAAATGCCAAATTTTGTTGAAAATCAGAAGAACGTAAAGTTTTCTGTATTTCAACAGTGTCGGGTTTATTTTTTTCTAAAAATAGTGGAATTTTCCGAAGCGACAAAAAACGTTGAAGGCATTTACCCGCATTTAACCAACGAATCTCGGTATAAATACTTAAATCACCATATACCACATTTATCTCATCTAAAAAGGCATGGAATTTTCTATGCGTTAAGGATCGATTGTCTCCCTGAATAAGGTTTGTAACTTTTGTTACTAATTTCATCGTTGAACATAACTTTAATATTTTACTGCACAATACTTCCTGATGTATTATACAGTGTAATGTTAAACAATGAATACTGTTTTCTTTCAGTTGGCCTACAAATCCTGTTTCAGTACCTGTCATAGCCGGTGCTCCATCAGTTGCGATTGATACGCATTTTTCAAATCCGCCAATCAGATCGACATGATTTTTCAAAGCGTTGAATATATTCACGCCTTTGGTTGTACCATATAAAGAAGACAAACCTAGAAATTTCTCGTGGACTTCGAAATTATCAATAACTGTGCCGATAAAAATTAATAATTGAGATATATCCGTGTGATCAGTACTTTCATCGATACATAAAGAATAAAATAGACATTCAGCAATAAGGTCATATAATTTATCTTTGACGTACAGTAACATATCTTCGACACTTTTAGTCACAGTTGTACGAGATAAAGCAACTAAATCAAAATCAGAAGCAACTGTTTCGTGTCCAAAAGCACGTGCCATTTATATTGCACATTGTTTAATAAGCGGGTCGTCAACCCTTATAGAAATATCATACTAAGGATCATTGATAATTACTTATTTTCAGTATTAAAAATACTGGATAATAAGTAATTATCAATGATTCTTAGTATGATACTTCTATAAGAGAACCCTTATAGAAATATCATACTAAGAATCATTGATAATTACTTATTATCCAGTATTTTTTATGCTGAAAATAAGTAATTATCAATGATTCTTAGTATAATATTTCTATAAGGGAATAAAACATTTTTGTGCCTTAGCTAAATTTAAGGATACTTCATATGAAGCAATTAGAGCAGAACGTTGGATGGTAGTTTTATGTACAGATACTGAAGCAGATGCGATATTATTTTCTAATTCGGTAATTATTACTCGACGAGCTTCATCATTATATTTATCATATTTGTCTTTGTGATACCTATTGTAATGACGTGAAATGTTATCACATTTCATTATTGTCAGTATTTTTGAACATACAAGACATTGTACGTTTGAATCATTAGGTATAAATAAATATTTATACTTCCAATTATCTTGAAAATGTTTATTTTCTTTATCAATTTTTCGCCGCTACATATGGAAAATTATGCAATAATTCCCGCAATGCGTATGTAAATACGAAATAAACGAGCTGTGTCAAGTTTCAAGCTGTGCCTTGAGCGAAAGACGAAACCGTCGATGCACGGATCGATATTACTACTACTACTCTAGCGACTGCCCCGCCAGCGCTTTAGGCGAGAGTGGGGAGCGCTTCTCCGCTACGAATGAAGGAAGTAGAATAAGGCATGTTCTACAATACGTCGTATGTCGGAGTCGGACGTCGATGCAATCAATGGTCCAATCAGGAGAACTTGTCTCGAGAAACAAACCCTCTGATTGGTTCATCGACTGCGTTCCGACGTCCGACAGCGACATACGACGTATTGTAAAACCAGCCTAAAGCTGGTGGCACATAGAAAACTTAAGCAGTAAAACGTAAGCAGTAAGCAAATTGACCAATCACAGTCATTGATTCTTCTTACAGTCCAACAATCAACGACTGTGATTGGCTGATTCGCTTACTGCTTACGTCTTACTGCTTGAGTTTTTCTATGTGCCACCAGCTTTATTCTCTTACTGTCAAAGTGATCCAAGACTAGGACTAGGACTACCAAACGGAACAAGTGAGGTATCGAGTTCGAAACTACGGAGGGATATATAAAATAATTTTTTTTCTTTATGCGTATTGAGAAACTCTCAGTAATGACTCCTGCACACAGGACGCGGTAATGCTTGCCGCGCGGCGGAAGTTCGCACGACAGCCAATCAATATGTTGGTTTCCGTATTAACCTTCTAGCTCTTATGGAAAAATAACATATTGATTGGCTGTCGCGTGGATTTCCGCCGCGCGGCAAGCGTTACCGCGT